TTTTTGTATTCAGTGGCTCAATTGCATTTTTGTGTGTAGTTCGATGACTAATTTGAACCTCATTTCAATATGATATAATGTTTTTGTTATATAATGTTTTTGAGTTGGGATTTGGAATTTAAGATTTATATGGACCAAGTGATGTTTTAAATTTATATTATAATATAATTGTATTATATTGTTACGAAATTTAAAAATGTTAGTCAAACTTGTTTTTTTTTTTTTTTTTGGAGTATTACTGAAACTTGATTAATTTTCGTTCGCACCGAAATTAAGGGACAAAGTGTTAGTCAGATTGGTTTTTTTTTTTTTTCATACAAGAGAGGTTCGAACTCTCGACATCTTTTAAGGAACAAGAGTGCATGGCCACTCACGCCAACCAAATTGGTTAAACTTGTATAATAAACCCAATAAGAATTTTTTGCACTTTTGGTCCCATGACTATGGTGTCACTAACAACTTTGATCCACGATTTTTAAAACTTATAGAATTGGTCCACGACCATAGACGGAGCCAGAGAGGGGTGGGGGGGGGGGGGGAGGGGGGCAGGGGGTCAGCTGCCCCCCCTCACCCCACCCCACCCCTACCCTATATTGTATATAATATGTATATATAGTACATTATTCATATAAGTATTATAAAACAGATTATATAAACAAATGCTGTGATAGACAAGGTGGTAGTTAGTGTATATGAGTTTCAGAATGGCTTGGGTTTGAGTCTTTGCATTGACAATGTTACAGATTTTCTTCACTTTTTGATTAACACAATTAAATTTTGGCATGATATATATAACTTCCATTATAACTTTCTTTATATTAATAATGGAATGTGTAATTTATAATGTGTTTTATATTCGAATTGTTTTATCAAATTAATTATGTTTCATATTTTGTTATAAATATTTTTATAAAGTTTTAATATGTTTTATTTTTTGCTATATCCAACAATATTTATTGTTATACTTCTTAAGTATTTCATTTTTTTTTAAAACTTTCTCTTTTATTTTAATTTTTTTCCTCACTAAAAAAAAATTCTGAATCCGCCATTGAATCCATCCCTACTTCTTTGCCCCCCTCAACATATTTTCTGGCTCCGTCCCTGTCCACGACTATGACTTTCTTAGCAAATTTGGTCCTTTCAGTGCATTTTCCGTTCAATTTTTACCGGAAAATTATACTTCCCATTTTAACATGGGTAATATTATCTTTTCCATCTCACAAACTAATGACATAAATAAATAAACAGCTAAAAAAATTTGGCGTTTAGCGATGAGGGTGAAACTGAAAGTGTAATTGGAATTGGGTGACTTTTAATTTCAATCACCGTACCACTGGCTGTGTTTAATTTATTTATATCATTAGTTTGTGAGATGGAAAGAACAATATTACCCATGTTAAAATGGGGAGTAAAATTTTCCGGCAAAAATTGAACGAAAAATGCACTGAAAGGACCAAATTTGCTAAGAAAGTCATAATTGTGTACCAATTCTACAAGTTTTAAAAGTCGTGGATCAAAGTTGTTGGTGACACTATAGTCGTGAGACCAAAAGTGCCTAAAAACTCAACCCAATAATCCAAAGTTTTAGTTCAATAAAAAATTAACACAATCGATAAACTTGATGGTGAACCAGATTGACCCAAAACTAAGGGGGGTGTATTCAATCATGACTTTCACAGAGTTTTAAAGACTTTTATGAACTTTAAAAGTTTGGAGGTATTCAATTCAAACTTTTAGAGAGTCTTTAAAAGTCAGGCGGTATTCAATCAAGATTTTTAAAGAGTCTTTAAAAGTCGTGTGGTATTCGATTAAGACTTTTAAAGAGTCTTTAAAAGTCATGTGGTATTCAAAAATTTATGAACTTTTGTAGACTTTTTAATTTTAAGACTTTTGTAGACTTTTTCCTTCTCAAATATAAATAGTTGAAATCCAACCATCAACCCCAAGATTTCAAATTTTCTTTCTAACAACTTTGAATGTTTTCTTTCTATTTAAAGTCTATTTTTTCTCCCTATTTAAACTCTATAAACCTATCTAAATTCAATAAAATTATTTTTTTCTTCATTATCCTATATTTTCCTCATACCTAAGCTCTACCAATTTTTCTCTCTCATAAACTTTAGAATCTTCATCTAAAAATTTGAAACAATATTATTTTTACTTCATTATTGCTTCTTTATATTGGTTTTTATTTTTTTCTATGAAATTTTCATCCCTGACTTTCTCTAATTCTCCCTAAATACATAAACAAAGCAATTTTTTTATCGTCAAATTTTATATATAAGTAATTAGCATATAAGTCTCAGCATACTATGTATAAAAATAATAATGTTGAGAATGTTGATGTGGGTGAAGAACTATATAATACTCCGTAAGAAGAATTTTATGATATATTATAAATGTTTTGTAAAAAAATTATAAATGATAAAAATCAAAATCATTGAATGTTTGTAATGATGTATTCAATTTAGAATTTCAATGACTTTTGTAGACTTTTTAAAATAAAAAGTTGATAAAATTCAATGAATATTTTTTATATAGACTTTTAGGGGGGTGTATTCAATCATGACTTTCATAGAGTTTTAGAGACTTTTATGAACTTTAAAAGTTTGGAGGTATTCAATTCAAACTTTTAGAGAGTCTTTAAAAGTGAGGCGGTATTCAATCAAGATTTTTAAAGAGTCTTTAAAAGTCATGCGGTATTCGATTAAGACTTTTAAAGAGTCTTTAAAAGTCACGTGGTATTCAAAAAGTTATGAACTTTTGTAGACTTTTTAATTTTAAGACTTTTGTAGACTTTTCCTTCTCAAATATAAATAGTTGAAATCCAACCATCAACCCCAAGATTTCAAAATTTTCTTTCTAACAACTTTGAATGTTTTCTCTCTCTATTTAAACTCTATTTTTTCTCCCTATTTAAACTTTATAAACTTATCTAAATTCAATAAAATTATTTTTTCTTCATTATCTTATATTTTCATCATACCTAATCTCTACTAAAATTTTTCTCTCTCTCTCTCCCTCCTAAACTTTACAATCTTCATCTAAAAATTCGAAATAATATTATTTTTACTTCATTATTATTATTGCTTGTTTATATTGATTTTTATTTTTTCTATGAATTTTTTTATCTCTAACTTTCTCTAATTCTCCCTGAATACATGAACAAAGCAAATTTTTCATCGTTAAATTTTAATATATGTTTCATAATATTCATATAAATACTTATATGTTTTGATTTTTATTCTTTTTATGTTTATATTCGTAATATATATTTTCCCTTTTTTTTTAAGAACAGGTTACTACGAATAGGGAACTACTATTCGCAACAACAATTTGGAGTTGCAAACAGTAGCACCTTGTTGTTGTTCGCAGTCTCAATTTGCTATTGCAAATAATAGTTTTTTGCGTGATGCCTAGCAATATATATATTATTAATATTAGATTTTTTTTATTTTATGCAACTTGTAATTATATTTTTAAATATTTTATTTGATCAATTATTTTATTATAAATTTTATTGTTCAATATTGTTATAAATTTTTAATGAAATAGTTTTTTTTTTGTTGATTTTTATTATTAATAATATATATAAGTAATTAGCATTTTTTTTAAGAATAAGTAATTAATATATAAGTCTCAACATACTATGGATAAAAATAATAATGTTGAGAATGCTGATGTGGGTGAAAAACTATATAATAAGAAAATTTTTATGATATATTATAAATATTTTGTAAGAAAATTATAAATGATAAGAATCAAAATCATTGAAAGTTTGTAAGGATGTATTCAATTTAGAATTTCAATGACTTTTGTAGACTTTTTAAAATAAAAAGTTGATAAAAGTCTATGAATGTTTTTTTATATAGACTTTCATAGAGTCTTATAAAGTTTTAAAAAGTTTTGAACGACTCTATGAAAGTCAATCAAAGTTTATTAAAATCTATCATTATAAAAGTCTTTAAAACTCTACAAAAGTCATGATTGAATACACCCCCCTTATAGAGTCTTATAAAGTTTTAAAAAGTTTTGAACGACTCTATGAAAGTCAATCAATGTTTATTAAAATCTATCATTTTAAAAGTCTTTAAAACTCTACAAAAGTCATGATTGAATACACACCCCTAAATAAATTCCGTCAATTGACATTCCTATAATTATATATATCTATATTTAATAAATCATCATTGTTTCATTACTTACTTGAAAAAAAAAAAAAAAAAAAAAAAACCAAGGACCTTGTGATTCTGTGGTATTCGATTGTTTCCCTAAATGGGAGGTGACTAATAGTTATGTTGTGCAACCGTGTGTGCACACGATTGCAAAACGACGTCGTTTTGACTAAAAACGTGCATCCCATTTTTTTTTTATTAAAAAAATCAGTTTTGATTCCCCTTAACAGCATTATTGTGGATATATAGTTATGAATTTGTGGATATATAGTTATGAATTTATGGATATTTAGTTCATTCATTGTGTGTATTTAGTTCATTCATTCTGGATTTTGTGCTATTCATTCACTGTGGATATATAGTTATGAATTTGTGGATATATACTTCAAATTATGCACAAAAAAATGTTATTGTCTGAAATCGAACCTGATTTTTTTTAAAAAATAGGACGCGCGTTTTTAGTCAAAACGACGCCATTTTTGCAACCGTGTGCACCGTGTTACATAGTGCACAGCATAATTTGCTGGAGGTGACAGGTTCATGCCTAGCTTAGTGGAGACGATTAGTAGTTTGGGTGTTCCCTTTCATTGTAATAAAAAAAAAAACAAACAAATTTTCAATAATTAATTAAAAAATCAACCAAAAATATAAAATAAAAAAATCCGTGAGTGCTGGTGCTCTATAGTCTATACCAGAATATTACCAGTGTCAACAATCAACAGCATTGTAACGTAATCGATAACGTCTGAGCTAGTATGACCTCATCGCTGTCGTCACGTAGTTTCTAACACTGCAATTTTCGCGCCCAAGTATATATATCCACACCCACAACCTCCATGAGAACTCTCGCACAATCACAAAGGAGGCTTCGAATACTGGACTCACAAACAAAAAGAGGGCTTCAATTACTCAAATGGCGGCTACTGATATGCCTAGGGTGAAGCTTGGGAGCCAAGGACTTGAGGTTTCCATATGTTTTGCTTTTCTTTAGACACTTTCTCTGGAGCCTTGCTTCTGGGTGCTTCAATTTTTTATTTTTTTATTTAGAATTTTGCTTCTGTTTATCCTTTTTGATTTGATTTGATTTGTGATTGAATTGTATAATCTTGTTTGTGGTGGCAGGTCTCGAAATTGGGGTATGGTTGTATGGGGCTAACCGGGATGTACAACAATCCGGTTCCAGAGGAAGAAGGGATAGCAATCATAAAGGAAGCTTTCAGTAAAGGTGTTACCTTTTTCGATACTTCCGACATTTATGGAGCAAATCATGCTAATGAGTACCTGGTTGGCAAGGTAAATCTGTTTTCTTCACAAAATATCTACATTCTATGCCAATGGAGCTTGCTTCTATGTTTTTTTTTGGGATGACGAGGGAAACCCTGCACTCACTATCCAAGAATGTGCATTGGGTAGCCGTATGGTCAGCTCAATTGATCGTAGAGGTGAAAGTTGGAAAGAATGACCAGAGATCGAGTCTCACCGGCGTTAGTGTGGAAGCAACCTCTCAAAGTGAGAGGGGCGGGGCTCCTTGTGCCCAGTAAGCAAAGGTCTAGCCTATGTAGTTCATGTTCAGTTGAGTTACCATGATTTACATCCCCAGATGCTTTGTTAGGTCGGTGTGAGGCCCTAAGGGTTGGGGTTCAACCTTTTAGAAAGAAGAATATGCATTGGGTAAATCTTGCCTTGTGACCCAAGCCAGCAAATGGCCGAGGTAAATCGGCCTAGGTTGCCCAGATAAGCTCAAATCAAGAAGGCTGGAATTTAAACTAATAATCGTGCGGTTACAAGTTTGTATCCTTAGTTAGGGTTACCCCTGGCTTGCTTCTATGTTAATGCTAATACTGTGAAGTGTGAATTACATATCCCATTTCATCCTTAAATTGTATTATGTTCCTGGGAACTCTCTTTGATATGAAAAAAAAAAAATTCATGTTCCCAAGTATACAGTTATGTTCTATTTAGGTTTTAGAAATTGCCTTCAAAGGCACCAGTCTAGAATTTTATATAAGTGTCTCAAGTTTAATCCTAATTTTTGTTCCGAAAAATTAAAAGAAGAGGTGTATAAAAAAGAATGTGACAGAAAGTGGGTAGTTATATGATTGTTAAGGTTTACACTGAAAGTGGTGATTAAATGTAATGGCAGTTTCACAAATTACGGGATTGGTGTCAATGTAGATGAACTGCTAACTTAGAGAGAGTGTGATTAGTGAGTAACAGCAAGTAAGTTTTAATTGGCAGCAGAGAAGAGGGTGGGGGAGTAAAACTTCTCGTAATAACTTCAACAATTAAAATCTCTCTTCGGGTTAGTGATTTGCTCTATTTATAAACTGCAAAATGGCTCCATGCTTTACTTGCTCTTCTTGTTGTTCTGAAATGTTGCATTATGAATAGATTTGCTTTATTTATCCGTTGTTTCTAACCATCATGTACTCCTAGAGTTCCCGTCATAATATGGGGTATTTGGTTCGTTGGGTTGCACTTAACTCATGCTAATATGATTGTTTCAGGCATTGAAGCATTTGCCCCGAGAAAAAGTACAACTAGCTACAAAGTTTGGTATCTGTAAAATTGATCTTACCGAGGTTGTAGTGAAGGGTACTCCGGAATATGTTCGTTCTTGCTGCGAAGCTAGCCTGAAACGCCTTCAAGTTGAATACATCGATCTTTACTATATACATCGTATTGACACAACTGTGCCTATTGAGGAAACTGTAAGCATCTTTCAGCTCTTGCTCTATGCTCTTTCTACTTTGATATTTCTCCGCCAATCACTTCACAATAATCTAGGAGGGAACTTCATATATGTGTGAAACTAATACTCCTTAGTCCTTATTAGCAGTTAAAATTTGCGCCTTTTTATGGCATATTTTCTTTTTTCTGTGGCTTCAGATGAGAGAACTGAAGAAATTAGTCGAAGAAGGTAAAATAAAGTACATTGGCCTATCTGAAGCTCACCCAGACACAATAAGAAGGGCACATGCGGTTCATCCCATCACTGCTCTGCAACAGGAGTATTCCCTATGGACACGTGACATTGAGGACGATATTATTCCTCTTTGCAGGTTCATACTTATCTTGATCGTGTTTCAGTAAAAATTTCTCTCTTTTTTTTTTTTTTTTTTCGTTTATGAAAGGCTATACAACTAAAAAGTGTACATGTTTCTCTATCTCGTGCTATATTGTCTTCTGCTATTCGATTATATTGTCTCTGTTGCAATTTCTAACTTTAGGTCTCTTAAAATGAACAGGGAACTTGGAATTGGGGTTGTGCCATACAGCCCTGTTGGTCGTGGACTTTTTGGTGGAAAGGCGGTTGTGGAGAGCTTGCCTACTAACAGTTTTCTGGTATGAAATTTATATTTGAGACATTGATCGAGAGAGCGTTTGATTCTGAACCCGATTTGCTTATTTATCAGGAAAAACATCCCAGATTTACCGGAGATAACATTGAAAAGAATAAGAGCATATATTTTCGTTTAGAAGAACTGGCCAAGAAACATGGATGCTTACCTGCGCAACTTGCTATTGCTTGGGTTCTTAATCAGGGTGATGAGTTTGTACCCATTCCTGGTAGGTCACCTTCTTCAGAGTTTCACTTATTTTTTTTTTATAATAATGCCAGACAGTCAAAGTGGAACCTCCAAAATTATTTTTAACAGAAGATGGATATAGCCAAATTTGACCCAATTTTCTGGACCACCATATTAGTACTCTCAACACTAAATAAATTTTTGTCCATCCAAAAAACTGTTAGGATCAAGCGCTTAACACTAAAGCCAAAAGCTATAGTTAGACCAGTACTCTTAAATGTTGATATCACTTGTTAGGATTAAGCGCTTACCACTACGCCAAAAGCTATAGCTAGTAGCAAATGTGCAACTTTATTTCCTTATAGACCCCATCAAATTTTCGAGACACTGGGTGCCTTTACCGGCCTCTGCCCAACAATCTCCCAGCCACTGGGTGCTAGACTTGGCCTTCATTAACCTCCGTCCAACACAAACTTATTGGGCTGTTGAGAAATCCCTCGACACTGAAAAACGGGGTTTCTTAAAGATTGATCTTCAATGGCTCTTGAGCTTCTTTGTGCTCAAGATAGCTCGTCTACTATACATTTGTAGCTAGCACATGACTGCAACTTAAAGGTTTCCTGTTTAAGTAGTCCTGAAAATGAAACATTTATTAAACAAACAAAGTCAAGAAGCTTTGTATCTGAACATGATCTTTCTAAAGACAGAAGTTCTGTTGTCTTAATTGGACGCCAAGAGATCTTTTATACTGATATGATATGCTGTAAACAATTACGCTTTGATATATATATAACACGTACATAGTTTTAAGTTCTTGGCTTCATTTTAAATACTGAATGCAGGTACTACGAAGACGAAAAACCTTCATGATAACATTGATTCTGTGAAGCTGAAGCTCACTAAAGAAGAAGTTAAAGAGATTTGTGATGTAGTGCCCATCAGTGAAGTGGCAGGCCAAAGAATTGGAGAGGCTTTTTACAAGACAACATATAGATATGCCATTACCCCACCATTGAAGCAGTAGATTGTGAAGAAATGTTGAGCCGCGGGGGATTAGATATGCGTTAATCTGTTGAGGGTGTCCGATTGCGTGTGCTTTGTTGTATGTATGCAATATATGAATATAATGAGGAATACATGTCTGCCTCGCCTTGTATTTTTGTAGAGTGAGTCCCATTTAAGGATCAAAAGTTGGAAAATTCTACCATGCATAAAAATGCTATTACCCTTTTGTACTTGTAATAATACACATGGTGTCTTTTCAACATTATAATTTTTTAATAAAGGGTGGGTTCTTACCGTTGTTTGTCTATTTATAACCAGCTACTATGTTTATCTCAAAATTTTTGCCATTTCTAGCCTCATTTTCCTATTCTTTCTTTTTATTCCCATCTGTGTGGTTGTTTGTGATATCTGTGTAGATGCGTTGGGGAGTCTATGGACGTCCAGGGGCTGTGGGAGCACTGCCAAAATCATGCGCTAACAAATGAGGATAGCGCTGTCATGCATGGGGTGTGGAGAGCGGGCAGTGGTTCTTGGTAGGGTGACTATTAACCGATTAGGCTATCCATTTTGAGGCCATGTTGAATGTGTTCGCATTAGTATGGAAGCCAATGCGGGGTGTGCATATCTCGGAGTCAAACAATCTCTACTTCTTCCAATTCTTCCTAGAGAATGATTTGAAGCATGTTTTGGAGGATGGGCCCTAGTCTTTTGAGAATCATATGTTCGTTTGCAAGGGGAACAGTTGGCGGAAATATGATTGAATGAGGTGGAGTTCTGGGTCCAAGTGCATGAGTTGTCGTTGGGTTATGCTACAGGTAAGTTATGGAGCAAATCGGTAACTTTGAGGGAAGGTTTGTTAGAATGGATGATCATAACTTCGGTAGCCGGGGTGTGGCGAGGCTTCTATCGTATCCAAGTTGCTCTAAACACGAGGACCCCGTTGAGGAAGGGGGGGGGGGGGGGGGGGGGGGGGGGAGACTACCTTTTAGGTATTCTTTAAATATCAAAGGTTAAGCGCTTTTTGCTTCCAATACGGGGGTTGGGTCACACTGTGAAGTTCTGCATTGAGGCTCTCATCAGGAAGGTGTAGCCGGAAGACTACCAATACAGTGTTGAGTTGAGGGGGGGGGGGGGGGGTGGTGGTCTGAGGAATGTAGTGATGTGGTTGGTTAAGAGTGATGGGTGCAATTTGGTGGGTTTTGGGAGGCAAATGCGGTGTTAGAAAGGGGTATTGGTGGTATGAAGATAATACGTTTGGAGAGGCGGGAGGTGGGTGCGGTGTTGAACCATAGACATGAGAGGTTGGATGTGGTACTGGCAGTGGGGGGGGGGGGGGGGGGGGGGAGGGTGTGTGTGACGGCTATGTGCATGGATGGCGGTGTTAACTTGGCTCAGGCGAGGAGGGAAATTCTTCTAAGGTGCATGACTCTGGCTCTACTAACTTTTACCACGAGTTTTTTTTTTTTTTTTTTTTTTTTTTTTTTTGCATGGGGACCTCTAATTGAGACTTGAACGCCTCATGAACAACTATTGGTGTAAGAAAAGAAGGGGGAGGGGCATACGTTGGTGGGAGGGGCATACGTTGGTTGGCTTGGGATACCCAGAAAGTTTGGTGGTTTGGATTTTCGAAGGCTCTGCTCACAAACTAGCAAAATTTTTAAAGCGAGATATTATAGAGAAGGACTTGTTGGAAGGCACTAATGTTGAGTTGGTGTGGACCATAGTCGCTTATGAGTGGCGCTGAGATTTGAACCCATAACCTTTAGTCTGGCTTTGATACCAAATTGAAGCAAGTGCTCCATCTCAACTAAAAGCCTAAACTGATAGTTGGATTGCACATTAATGGCTATATGCTTAACAGTGGAGTCGACCATTGCTTTGCTACCGGGGGGGGGGGGGGGGGTTCTTTTGTTAGGAGCTTGGAGGATTGCTTTGGAAAAAAAAAGGGCGAGGTGTTAAGCTAGGTGACAATGCTGATGTGGGGGAGGGGGCGTCTGGTGGGCAAGAAATGACAAGGTGTGGAACAGAGTTTTGATCTCCTTGCAAAGGTGGTTAACATGGAGGTGAGGGTGTTGGCTGGGTGGAACGAAACTAGGCAGCAGGTGGACGTAACTATTGCGGCAATGCAATCCCCCAGGGGGTTGAACAAGTTCCAACACTCATATGTTATGTTGACGGATCCTTATTGGCTGAAAGTGTTGCGGCGGGTTTTGGGGTGGCGTTGTGCGACGAGGATGGGAGGTTTATAACAACCACTAATGGTTTGATCATGTATTGTATGGACCCATACATCGTGGAGGCAATGGCGTATAGGGAAGCGCTTTCATGACTTAAGGAGCGGGGTGTAGCAGAGGTTGAGGTTTGGTCAAACTGCTTGAATCTTTGCAATGCTTTATGGAGTTGTCGTTTGGATTTGTCATATGTTGGTATACTAGTAGACTAGTGTCTTAGTTTGTGTTATTCTTTTAGCTCATTTTCTTTTACCATTGTTAATCGTTCGATGAATAGGGTAGCACATTTTTTAGTTGCGAGAGAGACCTCTTAAGCTGAGTATTTGGTGTGGGATGCATCCCCTCCCATGTTTATTGAGAACCTTATACCCAAAAGGGTTTAATAGAATTGTTGGTTGGTTGTGGCTTAAAAAAAGGACTCCAAGTCAACCAAATAGTGCAATTGAGCCTCTTAAATATTTTTTTAATTCTTCACCTAGATCCTTTAAACCAAAAAAAAAATACAATGAAGTCTTAATAATTTTATATATTTAATAGGTTATCACTAATTCAAAGCTAACTAGACATTTATGTGGTCTAATGGTATCTGCGTTATTAGTTCTTTGTGTTTCAGTAGGTTGAGAAAGTATATGAACAGATACTACAATGTAGTAGAGCCAGTAACATTCAAAAAAGACATCTATGTGTGCTATTATTCCCATGTGGTAATGACTTAACATAAATTAGAAAATGTCGTGCAAATTTTTTTAGACATCTATGTGTGCTATTATTCCCATGTGGTGATGACTTAACATAAATTAGAAAATGTCGTGCAAATTTTTTTTAAAAGAAGTTAATTTATAATAAAAAAAAATGTCAAACTTCGACATCATAGGATGGCCAAGGTCACTCCCCATCAAGTCTAAGACAAAGGAGTGGTTGCCCCCAATTAAATTGCCATAGCTGCTATCGAACAGCCATGGTTGTTTGAAGCTCTCAAATAGAATCAACCACAATTGTCTTCATTCAACAATTTATTACGGTGCATTTTTTTTTAATTATTATATAAGATTGTTTAGTTTGCGTTAACTCACTAACTCATCAGATGTCACGTCATCTCTACATTGAAATAATAGCATATGTGAAAGTTGGCCTATTTAATGTCAAATCAAGAATAACATACTAAGGGGTGAATTCAATCATGACTTTCATAGAGTTTTAAAGGTTTTTATAAACTTTAAAAATTTGGGGTATTCAATTTAAACTTTTAAAGAGTCTTTAAAAGTCAGACGGTATTCAATCAAGATTTTTAAAGAGTTTTTAAAAGTCGTGTGGTATTCGATTAAAACTTTTAGAGAGTCTTTAAAAGTCACGTGGTATTCAAAAAGTTATGAACTTTTGTAGACTTTTTCTTCTCAAATATAAATAGTTGAAATCCAACAATCAACCCTCAGATTTCAAAATTTTCTTTCTAACAACTTTGAATGTTTTCTCTCTCTATTTAAACTCTATTTTTTCTCCCAATTTAAACTTTATAAACCTATCTAAATTTAACATAAAATTAATTTTTTCTTCATTATCCTATATTTTCCTCATACATAAACTCTACCAATTTTTCTTTCTCTCCTAAACTTTACAATCTTCCTCGAAAAATTCAAAATAATAGTATTTTTACTTCATTATTTCTTGTTTATATTGATTTTATTTTTTCTATGAATTTTTTATCCCTAACTTTCTCTAATTCTCCCCAAATACATGAACAAAGCAATTTTTTCATCATCAAATTTTAGTATATGTTTCATAATATTCATAAAAATACTTATATATTTTGATTTTATTCTTTTTATGTTTATATTCGTAATATATATTTTTCCTTTTTTTTTTTTAACAACAAGTTACTATGAACAGCGAACTATTGTTCGCAACAACAATTTGGGGTTGCAAACAGTAATACCTTGTTGTTGTTCGCAGTCTCAAATTACTATTGTAAATAATAGTTCTTTGCGTGATACCTAGCAATATATATATATATATATATATATATATATATATATATATATATATATATATATATATATATATATATATATATATATATTAGATTTTTATTTTATTTTACGCAACTTGTAATTATATTTTTAAATATTTTATTTGATCAATTCTTTTATTATAAATTTTATTATTCAATATTGTTATGAATTTCTAATGAAATAATTTTTTTTTGATGTTTATTAATAATACATATAAGTAATTAGCATATAAGTCTCAACATACTATGGATAAAAATAATAATGTTGAGAATGTTGATGTGGGTGAAGAACTACTTAATAAGAAAATTTTATGATATATTATAAATGTTTTGTAAGAAAATTATAAATGATAAGAATCAAAATCATTAAAAGTTTGTAATGATGTATTCAATTTAGAATTTCAATGACTTTTGTAGACTTTTTAAAATAAAAAGTTGATAAAAGTCTATGAATGTTTTTTATTAGACTTTTATAGAGTCTTATAAAGTTTTAAAAAGTTCTGAACGAATCTATGAAAGTCAATCAAAGTTTATTAAAATCTATCATTTTAAAAATTTTTAAAACTCTATAAAAGTCATGATTGAATACACCCCATAAATATATAAGGTTAGGTCTCAATTACACATTTAATTGATTTAAGGGGTCTTGATAAATTTATTTAATTAGAGGGTTTCATTTAAAATGTTTCATAAAAAAAAAGAAAAATATTATGTGTACCTGGTTTTCTACTTTTACTTTAAAATTTTTTATGTAAATATATTTTTTTTAGAGATTTACGTTATGAAAATAGCATATTATTATTGGTCACATCATAAAGCAAAAGTGAGAAAAATAGAATTTAAAAGTATATATAGTGATGGATTTAATTAACCCCGGGTAGCCCGAATTACTAAACCGATAATAAGGATAAATAGTAAAAGACAATGAATATAGGTCGCAGGGACAACTTTTGTATTGATACTGATTCGTAGGAGAATTACAAGGTAAATGTAATATTTAAACCAAGAAGTAAATCCCTTAACAGAAAAAAGATGTTCGTTTTTATACAAGTTAGCTCACCAACCGCCCACGAGAATAGGGTGTGCGGTTGGATTGCGGTTTGACCGCGTTCGCAGGCACGCACTTGAGGCTACCTGCCAGGGGCCCTCGGGTAGCCGTCGACCCCAGTTGAGGCCGACCCCAACCGAGGTCGACTTTGGCGCTACGGGCCCTTGGGTAGCTGTCGACCCCAGTGAGCCCTTGGGTGGCCGTCGGCCCCAGTTAAGGCTGACCCCAACCGAGGTCGATCTTGGCCGAGTTGCCCTCGGCCCCTCATATTGCGCCTTCGGGCCGGTTTGTCTTGAATCCGTCTCTAATATATCCATCATATAGTAAAATTCAAAAAAAAAAAAAAAAAAAAAAAAAAAAAGGAATGAAAATGGTGAATGGTTTGGGAGGTAAAAAAGCAAAGGAGGATCCATGATGGGAGAGCAAAGAGATTACATATAGGCAACAAAAAGCAGAAGAAAACAGGTGATGGCCCTCACCGGTCATTCAAACCCTTGAATTATTCAATAATTTGTCTTGATTTGCAACAAGCTACACTACCCATGACCTACACTACACAGTCACACACTTCCATTGCATTGCATCCATGTTATCGCACTGTCAATGGCCCCAACTCTGCAGATTCACCCTCGCTTCCACCCACCCACCCTTTGGAAGTTGTGCCCCTTAGCTTCCTTTTAATTTTCTCTCCTTTTAATATACTATATATAATATACTTTCTCCCTAATTGCTTCTCACAATTATTATTATTTTTTTTGCGTAATTTTTAAGAGTTCTACTATATATACTTCCAAATTTTATTCTAATTATTTTTACTTCATGATATGACAAATCATTATGTGAGTCCCAGAAAAAGTGTTTACATCAACATTTGTGAGAGGGAGTAGAAGTTAGGAGTAAGAATTGAGAGTATATGTAGATATATAGTATTTTTCTAGTTTTTAATGCAACAAAACAAATGTTACTAACTTTCAGATTTTGTCATTCAAAAGTAAGTGTCATATATACAAAGTATAATTGTACTTATCTCATTAATGAAAATACTTGGTGTACTCCCATTTTAAACTCTCAACTTATATTCCCTCTCACATGTTCTTGATGTAGACACTTTTCTGTAGACCCACATGATGAAAATAACCAATCCTGATTTGCCACCTTAGGGAGTATAAATGAGGGAGTAGAATTTTGGGAGTCTATGTAGTAGAACTCTCTCATTAATGGTCTAGAAATTTGGAAAAAGGTCAAAAGTGTAAATTGAAAAATGTAGAATGATAATTATATTCAAATTTGAAAATAAGACAATATTTTAGGACAAACTTATAAAAAAAAAAAAGTAACACAAATAAAATAGGACGAAGGGTGTATCTGTTTGTACCAAGTATTCTGAGTATAAGTGTTTATAATATATAGTATATAATGATTATGATTATGGGTGTTAAGCCTATATGTGGCTAATATTACATTTAGTTATTATTTATTCTATTTGTGTTTCTGGAGAATAATTGTGTTTGAATAGTTGTTACAACTCCCTACTATTTACTCTCATCTATATCTATATACTATATATAGCTAGTTGTGCTAGCTCTCACAGTGGGTACGGGTCCATACCTTAAAAGTTTTTCATATACTTAATCTCTACAATAATTTATTAATTTATTTACACAAAAAAAAAAAGGTTTGGAAATTGTGGTAACTTTACAATGCAAGGACATGATCAGGTATGTTCACTGATGATAGTTTGTACTGTACGCTAAATAAAAACCTTAACAAATGACCGTTTCAGCGATGCAGACTGGCGCATCGGATCGCCGCTGCAATAACCTATGACTAAGTCCGGTGAACCGGTGGTGTTCCGGTCACTTCCCCAAAACCCTCCACGTCATATATAAGAAAATGCAATCCATAAAATTAAAAGAAAAAAAAAAAAGAGAAAGAGAGATTGATAAACTAGTAATATTTAATGATGATATATGTTGATGTTGTTTGATTTATGGGTCTAAATATATATATATTATATATATATAATGGATAAGGGCATCAGGGCATGTACAACTTGTTGCCACATTTGCACCTCCAAGCTTCTGGGTAGTACTCTGCCGTGACCGGCGTTCCGGGCGGCACCGGCACGTGCACCGGCTTGCATGGCGTGCACCGCCCGCATTTTGACGTGCACCGCGGCGGAGACGACCCTGGGCCACCCAGCATCCTCCTTGCTCCGCCGCCGCCGCCGCTCAACTTCTCGCCGGTTTTCTTCATTATCTGCTGTACATACACACATTTTCCAAATTTAGTTCATCAAGAAAATAAAATAAAAAATAAAATTATTGAATTGAAAATTTGTTGTTTCTCCGAGTGTCACCTCGCAATATCACGAGTCACTAGCGACACTAGCGTGCGCCCCAAGGGCTATACACATCAATAGAGAAATGATGTAAGGGTAAAAATGTCAACGAATATAATTAAATTGGTTACCCGAATGTGCATTTTAGGTGAAACTCATCTTTTGACCCGAATCGATAAAAAATCAGGTAAATTAACTTAGGTTGTTTATCAATCATTATTACATGGACCATGGTCTACACAATTGTGTGGACCATAAATAAAAAGTACATTTTTAATATACTAAGGGTACATTATTTATGTACGTAAGATACATTTTTTGAAAGCACATTTTTAATATACTAATGGTACATTATTTTATATAATGTACGTTCAGTACAAAAATAATGTACTTTTAATATATTCAAAATGTACCTAATATCTATGGTCCACACAAAAACGAGGTAAACTAACTTAGGGTTGTTTATAGTGACCGACTCAAACCAAAAAAAACCAATAAACAATTAATACAAAAAATCAAATTTGAAACCTTGTAGTTACCAAACTAATTGTATAAACTCAATTAGGGTTAAAATATTGAGTAAATTAAAATGCAAAAGAAAATGTAAGAGCATGTGACATGGTTGATGTATGTGTTTTTTCCGTGTTAAAGAAAGAAGACGACAATGACCCTATAGATGCAATAGTATATATGTATGTACATGTGATGTTGAGACTTCATCAGGTCGATCAAGGAAAAGATAGATGCTAACGTGCGCGCCTAGACTTTTCTGCATGGAAGCATGGATGGGACCATTGCTGTTCTTCTGCTACTATACTGCTCAAATAATGCTTGCTAGCTAGCTAGCTCTACACCAAACCCAGAAATCCAACCTCTATTTCTGTACTGTTTTTTAAAATATGTCTCTAATAATTCCTTCTTTGTTACTTGCTAGATCATGTCCGGACCCATCTAGACCCGATTTACAACCAAATTTCCATTAATATACTAATGGATGGTAACCCCAGCCAAGATGAGTTCGAATCTCAGCCTTTCTTGGTTTAAGTCGATCAGCTATGAGCACCCTAAGCTGATTTATCTCCTTGTGATCCTTTGCTAGAGGATCACAAAACGGAGTTCGAATAGTGATTGCGAGTTTTTCTGGATATCCAAAAACACTGTTGAAAATTATGAAATTTCCAAAAGTGGTCGGAAGAAGCCTTTCGACTTGATTTAAGATCACAGGTAGTCGGAAATTCTATAATTTCCAGAAGTGAAGTATACTAGCTAGATGATGAAGAAAATTAGGGTAAGAGGCTGACCTGGAAGTAAAACTGAACTTTTCCAGCAAATGGCCGAGGTGTGGTGTCTGTGGGGAATTGCAGGAAGAAGAACTTAATCATATCAACAACTAACACACACATTTAATTTACAGTAAAATGAAAGAAATAAAGAAAGAAGAAAGAAAAGGCACTTACCCAGGGGGTGTTGAGTGGTGGAGAGTGCATAAAGGGAGAAGAAGAGAGTGAGAGAAAGCAGAAGGGTTGTTTTGGTGATAATCTTGAAGGTGAACTCCATGAACATAGAAGAAGGGGGGGGGGGGGGGGGGGGGGGTGATGATGTGATAATTAATGGTGTGAAGCTAAGATTCTCTGAGATTATTCTGGTTTTGTTGCATCATATTATCCCTGTCACCCTATACTATCCATGCAAACGCAGCAAGCATCAGATCTAGTGCAGAACGAACCATAATAATCTGCTTCAATTCTCCTCCCTAGCTTTCTGGTTCACCAAGATTTCTGCAAAAGTGAAGAGCACACGAGAGAGATGAGAGAGAGAGAGAGAGAGGTGGGGATGGAGTAATAATATGTAAGTGTGTGAAGATGGTAAAGTGTAAAATTAAGGGGGCAGGGTGAGGGTCAGTTCCTCTGTGTTGCCATGTTTAGGGGTCAGATTCTCTTGCAGGCTTTTGCTTACTGTGTTTCAACAATTCCCAAACTCAGTAATAGTCTAATACCTCAACAACTTAACTCTCTCTCTCTCCACTAATAACACACCCCCCCCCCCCCAAACATGTGTGACCTAATCATTTTTTTGGTGTTAACCACACTGTGTTTCGAGTCTCTTTCTGTCCGTTTAACGATCTCAGTCCACCCAATTCACTCTGAGAGGCACAGAAACTGGTCCAAAGAGAACCGTCACTTGTGAGAATCGAACCCGAGTAATCTCGAAATTCTCCCCTAGAACTCATTTGTCACTTGAGCTACTTTGTTGGGTTATGTGTGACATAATCATGGTTGAACTGATTGATTAATACAACATAAAGTTAAGAGTTCTGCTTCGTAAACCATTTAAAGGTTCGATTTTTAGTACACCAAAAACATGTGAAGACCGTCGGGGTTCGGGTTCAATCCTTCTAATATGTTTTGCAAATAGCTCATCAGTCTCGGCATCCTTACCAGAACTGCTTGTCCTCCCTTTTCCCAGCTTAGTGCAAACACTTGCATTCGATTCACACATCAGAAATTGAGAGTAATGATTTTTTTTTTTTTTTTCAATTTAGGAGAATGAAGACACTCATTACATTACAATTTTACTATATATATGGGGTGCACATTTAATGTGAAATGACACATTACTATTGCACACTCAATAATCAATGTGCATATACGGACTTTTGTGAGCACCATGTTATACCTTCTCCAACTTTTCTTATATAACTATATCATTTTACATGGTTATAGTAGACGCTAGGCGCAAGAATAACGCCTAATACCTAGACGACCTAGGTGATCTAGGCGGGCAGCTAACTAAAAAAAATAAAAAATATCAGTACACATGTGTGGTTGTATATCATATCATATTATATATATATATATATATATATATATATATATATATATATAGAATCGCACTCAGGTGCGAATGCTTCGCCCAGGCGCGAAATAGGAATGAATTCTGTTCGTCCACGTGTCTAGATCTAATGGATGAGAAACACTGATTTTTTTAAAAAACGCGGTGGCATTTTCATAAATAATTGAACATCGAAGTGCAAGTAAAATGTATTACAAGTGCATGTAAAATGTATTATAGGTGCAAGTAAAAATTTACACTGAGCATCAATACTTAGTTGCACCTATAGTTCTAAGTAGTTGCACCTATTGTTCTAAGTAGTTGCACATATAGTTATAAGTAGTTGCACTTAGGTGTATGAATGTTTGCGAGTGGTTTTCAGGGGTATTACTATCCGCTGAACTCAGACCAATGAATATTAACAAGGCAAAATTACATGCACTTATAGTTATAAGTAGTTGCACATATAGTTATAAGTAGTTGCACAAATAGTTATAAGCACACCCAGATGCATGAATGTTTGCGGAAAGTGAATGCTAACAAGGCAAAATTACATGCACTTATAGGTGAAAGTAGGTGCACCTATATTTATAAGTAGTTGCACCTATAGTTATAAATAGTTGCACATATAGTTATAAGCACACCCAGGTGCATGAATGTTTGCGGAAAGTGAATGCTAACAAGGCAAAACTACATGCACTTATAGGTGAAAGTAGGTGCACTTGTAAGTGATTTTACTTGCACTTCGATGTTCAATTATTTACGAAAATGTCACCGCGTTTTTTTTTAAGTTATTAGATCTGGACACGTGTCACGCGCTGATTCGTTCGCATTTCTTTCCTGAGCACTTATTCGCACTTGAGTGCATCCATATATATATATATATATATATATATATATATATATATATATATATATATATATATATATATATATAGTAAATTAAGCAATGGCCAATTAACTCGGCTAACTCCGCCGAATTGGACGAGTTAACTCGAGTTCGTCTCTAACTTGAATGAGTCGGCTGAATTAGGCGCTTAGACGGCTCGGCTAACTCCGCCGAATTGGACGAGTTAACTCGAGTTCGTCTCTAACTTGAATGAGTCGGCTGAATTAGGCGCTTAGGCGGCCGCCTAAGGCAGAAATCACCACAACCTAGGGGCGCTGCCTAGCGCCTAGGCCGATTTTTGCAACAATAATCTTATTTTAAGACCTGAGATAAATTTCAAATTTTCCAATTGATTCTAAATTTTCCACTATCTGTATATTGTTATTGCTGTACACAAAAAAAAATTTCACCACCATTAATTGATTAATCGACCATTATATTTGAGTTACCCCAACAGAGAAACCTTTTCTATTCTGTATATTTCTCAAAAATCAAAATCCCACTTTAATTGTTTATTTATTTTAAATTTTAAGATTAAGATACATATATAAAAATATGCGTACACAACTAACTTTACACATATTGGTACGGTTTCATTTGACTAGTATACATGTGGTAAAGTCCACTAATTGATAAGTAATCAATTACTATCAAGAATTCTAATATTTAATACAGCACTGCGTATATGTGAGTTATATTAATTTAGACTATAGTTAATTAGTCAAACATGACTTTAGGCTTAGTTACCTATTGTATAGGGTTAGTTATTATTCTATTTGTAACTTGTAATTATCCTTTTTCAATTGAATTACAATATTCAAATCCTAATCTGGTATCCGTTAGCGATAGGTAGCCCGATCCATTCTTTCGCAAAATCACTATGTCGACTAACTCCTCCGAAAGAACTGTCACAACTACCACCGTCCAAACTCCGGCTACTCCCACCTCCCTTGCCTCGGCTCACCATTTTGTCTCAATCAAACTAAACACCAGCAACTATCTCTTCTGGCGTACCCAATTGATCCCATTCCTACGGGGTCAAGGCTCTTAGGCTATGTTTCAAATCCTAATCGTATATACATGAGTGTAAAATTTTGGAAGAATGACCAGGGATCGAGTCTCACCAGCGACAGTGTGGGAGCTACCTCTCAAAGTGAGGGGGGTTCCTTGTGCGCAGTGGGCAAAGGTCTAGCCTTTGTGGTTCATGTTCAGTTGAGTTACCATGATTTACATCCTCCCAAATGCTCTGTCGGGTCGGGGTGTGGAGTGCCCTTAGGGTTGGGTTCAGCCTTTAGGAAGAATGAGTGTAAAATTTTATGTGCAAATAGTTTTTTTTTTTTTTTTTTTTTTTCATATTTTAAGGTCAAATATGATTAGGACTTGGTTTAATTTAACTTTTGAAAGTCAAAAACTTAACTTTAGAAATTAAACTAAAGTTAAACCCAAATACTTTGGGAAGAAAGTTAAACCCATACAAATCCTCCTTATTCAAGTATCGCATTTTATATATTACACATTTCTAGAATTATAATTAAAAAAATTTAGGAATAAAAGTCAAATAGTACTTCAATCCAAATCATTCAATGTGGTTACTGGGATTCAAGCCTAGGTTTCCACGACCACAACGTGGAATTCTTACCACTAAACTACAACCACAGCATGGAATTCTTATCACAATCAACTCTAGCTCACTATTTGCCATGACCTTATGGTGGATTTGGAAATGACGGAACGAAGCATTTTTTAACAACATAGTTAAACCTCTTGACTTTAAGATTTCATGGATCAAAGCTCAGACTATGGAAGCAGACAAGGCTTTCACCAAATTTTCAGGGAAACTGAACTTACAAATTGCAGCATCCTGGAAGCAGTTGTGCTGGGAAAAACCACAGGATAACTTCTTTAAACTAAACGTGGATGGCTCGGTCCTGGGTAACTCAAGCAAGGCCAGTTGCGGCGGCTTAATTTGGGATAGCTCAGGCAGATGGTGCCAAGGCTTTGTTTACAATATAGGCAACTGCACACCCTTTGAAGCTGAAGCATGTGCTATTTTAAAGGGAATCCATTTAGCTGTAGCCAAGAGTTGCAACAACCTGATCATAGAGAGTGATTCTTCAAATTCCATCGACTACATAAAAGGGAGCAGCCCCCCTCGCACTCCAGCTCACAACATCCTTGAAGCCTGCAAAAAAAGAACTCCGTCGTCTTGAAAGATGGCAAGTCGTATCAATAGCAAGAGAAAAGAATTCTGTTGCAGATCGCCTCGCGTTCTACTCTAGAAACTTTCCTCCTGGAGTGCATTTTTTGAACTCACCACCAGATGATATATTGAGCTTTTTGGAAGACGACTTAGCTGGTTTCCCCTCCTGCAGGTTTATGTATAACATACTTTGACTCTGTATTGCAATATTTGGGTTTCCCCCTTCCTAATAAATATATAGGGAAAATGACACTTTTTCCCCCTAAGTTATATACTTATAGCACTTTTTCCTCCTCAATTATTTATGTAAGCACATTAGCCCCCTCAATTATTTTAAAAGTGGTGGTTTTTCTCCATGATATATTAAATTGACATTTCTACCCTTAAAGTAAATATTTTATTTATTTTACTTTTCCAACAAATTATTGTGTATATGTAGCAATGACCACGGTTCGGTTCGAACTGAACCGGACACTATAGCAATCGAATTAAAAGTTTCCGGTTATGATTCAGATCTAGAATCCAATATTTAGATTTCAATTTATTAAATTTATGAACCAAAAAAACTGGATCATGAACCGTGAACCGGCGGTTTCGGATCCGGTTCGTGATTTTGAACTGTCTTTATTTTATATTTTATTTTATTTTTTATTTTAAAATAGTCTAAATTCAACAATAAATGTATTTTATTTTTTCAATTCGGAACATGAAACCGGCCATTTCGATTTGCGATTTTAATAAACTCTAAATATCGCGTTTTGATTCTAAATTGTAATTGGAATATTTTGGTTTGGTTGCTATAATATCTGTTTGGTTTGAACCAAATTATAGTAATAATTTGTTGGAGAAGAAAAATAAATGAAATATTTATTTTAAATATTTATTTTAAGGGTAAATATGTCCATTTAACATTTTAGGGGGAAAAAGAGCCACTTAAATAATTCAGGGGAAAAAAGTGCTATAAGTATATAACTCAGGGAAAAAAAATGTCATTTTCCCAAATATATATATATATATATATATATATATATATATATATATATATATATATATATATATATATATATATATATATATATATAT